TGCCACCAGGGTCAGCCAGGCTGAGCAGCAGCAGTTGGTGCAGAAGGGTCACTTCAGCCCGTGGCACTTTGGGGCAGGAGCACTTCTGGGTGGGGGGTGACAGGGACCCCCCAGTCACAGGGCCAGGACCCCAAGGCCATTGGAAGGAAGGACAGGTCTCAGCCCCCTCCACCAACCCCACTGCCCCCCTACTGCCACTGATAACCCTCAAGGGCCCCCATCAACCCCAGTCCCTTCACTCTTTACCTTCCCAGTGACCCCCCAAGCCCTGCTGACTCTCCAGCTCCCCCAGTGACCCCCAACCTGCCCCAGTGACCCCTCCAGGGCCTCCCAGTGATGACCCACAGGATCCCACTGGTTCCTCACAGCCCATGACTGCCCTGCCACTTTATTCCTCACTTGCTGTCCCACCCCAAGCTGATGTTGACCCGAGGAAAGAGGTGGATGTGGGTTTGGCCAGGGCCTGGGGGCTGAGCCAGGTGCCTGACATGGGGTCTGTGCCTGCCTGATCTCCTCTGACTGCAGGACAGTTTTCCCCTGTGTTTGCCATGGCCCTGTTGGTCAAGTCCCTCCCAGAGCACTTATGAGGGGTCTGGCTGTCCCCAAACAGAGCAGGAGGGCTCTGGCCTGTCCCTCCACCTCCCAAACACGGGCTGTACGGGTCTCACACGGCTCAGGAGGGGGTTCTGTCCCAGACCCTCCCCTTACCTACCTCAGGGCTGGTTCAACCATTCCTATCCCCAAAGCAGCTACTAAAATACTTTGAATCATAGAATATCTTAGGTTGGAAGGGATCCATAGGGATCACTGACTCCAGCTCCCTGCTCCCAATGGGCCACTCTTCCCAGTACGAAGTGCCCCAGGTATGTGGGGCCAGTAGGGGCTGGAAGAATCCCCCTCAGAAGGGGCTGAAGGCAGAGAAATGAGGGGTAAAAAGGAATTTTGGCAGCAGTGTCTCTTCTGCCACCCTCCCTAGTCAGGGAAGTGGGGTGACACAGATGAAAACTTAATTTTCACTGGAAACCTGTCAGAACTGGTTGGTAGAAGAGTCTGGTAGAGTGGGAGAGGAGAACTGTGTGTGTGAGAGGAGCTCAGTGTGACACCCCTCCTCGGGGCAGCCTGCTCCAAAATCCCTGGGACCCACAGCATGTCTCCTGTCCCTCCAAGGCCACATTGTCCTGCTGCCAGGTCTGTCAGGTCAGATTAAAGGTGGGGAAGGGGCTTGGAGATCACCAGGACCCAGCAATAACACTCACCAAAGGCCAAAGGAACTCCCACAGGAGGAGCACCTGACGTGGACTGAGGAGTAATCAGTAAATGAGAGAAGCTGAGGCAATGCAGAATAAAGACTCTTTTATAGAACAGAGAAAGCAGGTGCAGCTCCTGCCGTGTTTGCTGAAGGAGGAAATCAGCTCCCAGCCATCAGTGGTGCTTGTGGGGATCTTCTTTCAGGGGTGGCATGATTTCTCCAGTCTCTAAAATCCTGTCCCCCTGAGGGATGAGAGCGTGGTGAGTATTCCCTCCTGCACCCAGCCCCTCCCTGCACAGCCCAGCCCTTCAGGGAACCTGCAACTTCCCCACTCCCAGACAAAAATCTCACTGCAACTCACTCAGAACACTCTCACTCACTCAACATTCCCAGGATACGGGAATAATATCAATAATATCACAGCCAAACTACCTGAACCTGCACCTGCTTCACCACAGAACAGCAGCCAAACATTTTGAGACTGTCTTGTTTTAAAAATGTATATTGGACTCATAGCACTGCATAACCCCCTTCAGCACAGCACAGGGTTCAGTGAGTCCAAACCCAGGGCCTGGTGACCATGGAGAGACACATAATCCCTCAAAAATCAACCTGCTGCCCAAGTGCTGCCTGTTCCAGCTCCAGGCACTGTCCTGGCCCACTGGGCTGACCTAAATTGACTGAAAAACTAGGCTGAAGACAGAGGACAACAGCCTGACCTTCAGTATGTTGCTATGTGGTTGTTAGGGATGGAACTTGTTAGAACTGCCAAAAATGTGCAGCTGTCAGAAAGGGCAGAGCTGATTTTCTAGGAGAGTGTTTGCCCTCTGACTTGTTACACCAATCAGTAACAGCTCAGAGCAGCCTGAAAAGAAACCAAGCAATATGACCCTCTCTGCTTAAAAAAACTCACCCCAAACTGAGGTGACACAACTCTTTGGGGACCCCTGAGCATGGGGGACCTGCAGGGACACCTGGGACCAAGCCAGAACCAACATTCCCAGTGCTGACAATGAGGAGAAGCAGAACCACTCTGTCATTCCACGTGTTCATAACCACAGAGGCTTTAAACACCCATTCCCAAAGGAAATGTTTGTGTTTTCCTCCCCATGGGCCATGTCAGCCAGGTACTGTCAGCCAGGTACTCCAAAGTCTGCAGCTAGAGAGGAGGTCCCACCGAAACAGGGACTGTCTGCTCCGAGGACAAGATGAGAACTGCCCAAAAACACTGTTCCTGTGCTGCTCCAGGACAGGCTGCCCACAGAACACCCCACATCCCTCCAGAGTCTCTACCAGGAATTTCTCAGCTGCTGCACAAACTTGCACTTCTCCCCATGGAATCCCTTCCCATCTGCCTGACAAAGCTGGAAGACAAAACAAGTGTTAACAGACTTACTGGGAATATCCGTGGATTTGCCATGACCATTCCATGAGGCTTTTTCTGGAAGTGGGGGGGAGAGAGGGGAAGGGGAAAGAAAAGAGTGTTACTTGGAGGGAGTACAAGTCTTTCCCATTCCCCACACCAGCAGCTGCCCTGGTTATACCCATGGTCACCACTCCTCCAGGAAAGCAACAACTCAGACACAGCTTTCCGGCTCACAGGAGGCAGCACAGGCAAAGCTGGGCACTGCCATAAATCACAGAATCATGGTGTGATTTGGGTTGGAAGGGACCTTAAAGACCATCTCCTTCCATCCCCTGCCATGGGCAGGGACACCTTCCACTAGCCCAGGTTGCTCCAAGCCCTGTCCAACCTGGCCTTGGACACTTCCAGGGATGGGGCAGCCACAGCTTCTCTGGGCAACCTGTGCCAGGGCCTCACCACCCTCACAGGGAACAATTCCTTCCCAATATCCCATCTAACCCTGCCCTCGGGCAGTGGGAAGCCATTCCCCCTTGTCCTGTGACTCCAGGCCTTGTCCCAAGTCCCTCTCCAGCTCTCCTGGAGCCCCTTTAGGCCCTGGAAGGGGCTCTGAGGTCTCCCTGGAGCCTTCTCTTCTCCAGGTGAACCCCCCCAGCTCTCCCAGCCTGGCTCCAGAGCAGAGGGGCTCCAGCCCTTGGAGCACCTTTGCTCCAACAGCTCCATGTCCTTTGTGTACTGGGAACCCCAGGGCTGGAGGCAGCACTGCAGGTGGGGGTCTCACCAGAGCGATTTTTTTATCATAAAGTATCACCAAAAATACATATATTTGTGCCACCTAAGCAAGGAAACACGAGAGGTGGACAGGCCACGGGAGGTCACCTCAGCCTGCAGCCCAACGCAGGCCGCCCGTTCACACCCCCGTGTGGGATCAGCCCTCACACCCCCCCCGGGCTCACTGCGGGGTTTAACCCGCCCGCCCCCGCGCCCCCCGCGCCCCGCACCATGACGTGGTACTTCACGTAGTAGGTGACGAGCCAGGCGGGGATCAGCACCCGCACCAGGAGGAACCCGCCGGTCTGGTAGGCCTTGTACACCTGCGGGGACAGCGGCGGGTCAGGCGGGGACAGCGGGCCCCGGCCGGGACGGGCGGCCCCCCGTCCCCCTCACCTGCTGCCGCCAGAGCCCCCCGGGCCGCAGGAAGCGCTCCCAGAACGCGGCCACCGGGCCGAGCTTGCGCGGGGGCAGGACGGGCTCCCGCTCGCTCAGCTCCTGGTCCCGCAGCCACCGGCGCCGCAGGGCCCGGAGCTGCTGCAGCCGCAGCTTCTCATCCTCCGTGTAGCCGCTCATGGCCCGGCCCCGCTCGGCTCGGTGCAGCCCCGGCCCCGCTCGGTGCCCGCCCGGCCGCGGGCGCCCCGTCCTTGTCGCGGCGCTGGCGGTGAGAGCGGGGGCGCGGCGCGATGACGAGCGCGGGGGAGGCGCCGAGCGGAGCGGCGGGAGGGACCGGGCAGTTCTGCGGGAAGGGCTGGGGGAGCTGCGGTTGTGCAGCCTGGGAAAGAGAAGCTTTGGGGTGACCTGCGGGCCGCCTCCCTGCTGAGGGGAACCTACAGGAAAGATGGGGCAGGACTATGCACAAGAGCACGTATTGACAGGACAAGGGGGAGTGGGTCCAAAATGAAAGAGAACAGGTTTAGATTGGATATAAGAAAGAAATTCTTCCCTGTGAGGGTGGTCAGGTCCTGGCACAGGTTGCCCAGAGAAGCTGTGGCTGCCCCTGGATCCCTGGTAGTGTCCAAGGTCAGGTTGGACGGGGCTTGGAGCAACGTGGGCTAGTGGAAGGTGTCCCTGCCCATGGCAGGGGAAGGAAGGAGATGGGCTTTACGGTCCTTCCAACCCAACCTGTCCCCCGATCCCATTGATCCCACTGATCAATCCCACTGATCCCACTGATCAATCCCCCTGATCCCATCGATCCCACTGATCGATCCCCCTGATCCCATCGATCCCACTGATCAATCCAACTTATAGATACAATCGATCCAAATGACCACCCCAACAATGTCAAAAGGCCCGGGTCGGTCCCGGCGCGGGCGCGGCGGGGCCGTGGCGCCCCCTGCTGGCGGGGGCCGATCAGCTGGGGCAGCCCCGGGCTGTGACCGGAGGGTTGAGGGTTCGAGGCCCCGCTCGGGCCGTTCCGATCCTCCCTCCGGGGGCTCCTCCCCCGGGCCCTCCCGCCACGCGAGCCCGGGGATGCGCGGCCCTGCCCGGCCCTGCACGGCCCTGCACGACCCTGCCCGGCACTGCCCGGCTCTGCCCGGCCCTGCCCGGCCCTGCTCGGCCCTGCCCGGCCCTGCCCGGCCCTGCTCCGGACAGCCCGGCCCTGCTCGGCCCTGCCCGGCCCTGCCCGGCCCTGCTCGGCCCTGCCCGGCTCTGCGCCGCCGGGGCCATGTCCGGGCCCGAGCCGGGGCTGCGGCTCCGCTTCCAGCGGCGGTTCCTGGCGGCGCGGCCGCTCCGGTCGCTGCCCTGGCCGGTACCGGGGGTCGGACCGGGCGGGCGGTGGGGGGGACGCGGCAGCGCTGCTCTGTTGGTTTGTTTATTTATTTATCCCGATTTAGGAGCTGGAACAAAACCTGCGGGCTGCGCCGGACTCGCCCCTGCTCCGGGATATCCTGCACCAGGTGGGGACACCCCCGGCTGCCACCGCGTGTGCCCAGAGCCGCCGGATCGCTCGTAAATGCAGCGATCCGGGCCCGCAGCGCTTCGCTGGGCCCTGCAGGACTGCGGGTTTCCTTCCCTGCCGCTGATTTGGCTGTTCTTGGATCGAAATGGAGACCCGCGTGCCCCAGCGCTGATGTGGTGGGTGGCACAGGCGAGTCTGCCCAGCTGGTCCTGGATGCTCCGGGATACAGGAACGCTGGTGCCTAAACTGTCCCTGGGGATGGGGAAAAAGCAAATCAGGCAGCAGGCCGAAAAGGAAAGAGGGAAGAGAAAAGCAAAAAAGGAGGGGAGCAAACTGGACCATTCCCATTCAGTTTTGCTCTTTACTCTGAAAGGGAAGATTTTTGCTGCCACAAAAGGTAAGAAATCTGCTGCCCCAGATCTGTAAACTCACAAACCAATCAGAAATCATCAGATTTCAATTTCTGGCTCAGCATCACTTGTACAGACTAAATCCCAATGCATTTCATGGCACCCAGAGCCAATTAATGTCCTTCTCTGGCCCTCAGTGCCTTTCCTAATCCCTCCCTGGTAACTGGTTTCCGTGGCTGTTCCTGTTTCAGACCATCCTCCACCCTCTGTGTGTGAAATATCCCCCCTCAACCAAGTACAGGAGGTGCTTTCTGACTGAGCTCATCAAAAAGGTACTGCTTGCTTTTCACTCTTCTTTTTTCCCCTGAAAACATCCCATGTAACAACAAACCACAACAGTCAGTGTAAATATTAGGGCCAACAATGTATTAAAGGGGACTTAATGTGCAAGTGTTTTTTGTTTTCATGACAATGTGACCCCCAGAGGTGCCCTGTTCTTCCCACAGCACGAATCCACAGCAGCTGAACCCCTGGATGAACTGTATAATACACTGGCAGATGTTTTAAAAGAAGAAGAATCTACTCAGTGTTACAAAAACTACTTACTGGTAAGCATTGATGCTGCACTGTTCTGAATCACATTTAATAATCTGAACTAAGCAATAATTGGCTTTAAAAATAACCCTTCAGAAGCCTGGAGTGCTTCCTACCTTTTCCCAGGTGCCAATATTGATTGTGAAGTGTAAACCTGTTGTCTGTGCTGATCCATCTTTGCCTTCTTGTGTGTCCTCCAGCCCACAGGAGACTGTGTGACCCTTTCTGAGAGCACAGCCATGATCTCTGGGGGCACCACGGGGCTCGTCACGTGGGAGGCTGCTCTGCACCTCGCCGGGTGGGCAGGGGGGAACCCCGAGGTGTTCAGGGCCAGGTAATGGCACAGCATGGGTGGAAAGGGGGGAAAACCCATACAGAATCATGGCATGGTTTGAGGTGGAAGGGACCTTAAAGATGGTCTCATTCTGTTCTTCTGCCACGGGCAGGGACACCTTCCACTAGCCCAGGTTGCTCCAAGCCCCGTCCAGCCTGGCCTTGGACACTTCCAGGGATCCAGGGGCAGCCACAGCTTCTCTGGGCAACCTGTGCCAGGGCCTCACCACCCTCACAGTGAACAATTCCTTCCCAATATCCCATCTATCCCTGCCCTCTGGCAGTAGGAAGCCATTCCCCCTTGTCCTGTGACTCCAGGCCTTGTCCCAAGTCCCTCTCCAGCTCTCCTGGAGCCCCTTTAGGCCCTGGAAGGGGCTCTCAGGTCTCCCTGGAGCCTTCTCTTCTCCAAGTGAACATCCCCAGCTCTCCCAGCCTGGCTCCAGAGCAGAGGGGCTCCAGCCCCCTGTTACTGTGAGCTACGAAACTGTAGTTTAATAATAGACAATATTTATAATAGTAATATTTAATTATAGGCAATATATACACCCAAAATAAGTGAAATCACACCCTTTTGCTGCTGGGTAACTGCTGGTCTTGTGTGTTCTGCAAGTCAAGCTGTAACTCAGGACCTTGTAGTTCTGTCAGGACAGGGATTAAGATCAAAACCTGGGCACTGTGCAGCCTGACTTGTTTTGAAATTCAGCTGCTCAGTTTTCAGTAATTTAACTGATGCACTTCACTCCTTGCTGGGATCCATCTCCCCGGCGTTAGAGGATCCGTGTGCAGGTCTGATCACACCTTCTGGGCTTTATTTATAAACAGGCGAGAGGAACAAGCACTTTTGAGGAAAGATAATTTAAAATACTGACTCCCAGAGCAACTGTGCTGCTTCAGTGTCTCTTTCTCTGCCCTGACTATGAAAAGAGCCAGTTCAGGGGGAGGCCGATGCAGATGGCTAAAACCAGGTGGGAATGTCTCTCATCCCCATGCTGGGAATGCTTTGTACCATGTGCAAAAGCAGCATTTCAGGTAATTAATTTATGCTGACCCTCAGCATTTCCCAGCTCTCCAGTTGTTTGAGATAAAGGTTAGGTTGTGAATGGTTTACTCAAAAATTATTGAAATTATCTGCAGCTCATTTTACCTTTAATTTTACTTGCAGTATTTTGATTTCCAACTTAATGTAGAGCCCTAATAGTACTTCTTTTACTCTGTTTTCCCTCAGGACAGTCTTGGAATTAGGAAGTGGGATTGGCTTCACTGGAATTGCCATCTGTAAGACCTGCCAACCCAAGACATACATATTTAGTGACTGCCACCCCTGTGTTCTCAGACAGCTGGGAGAGAACATCCGTCTCAATGGCTTCCAAGTGACCTGGTGTATCCAAACAGAGCCCCAAGGGCAGGAGGTGGAAGCAAAGAACTGCCAAACCCCAAAACTGATGGTTGCAGAACTTGACTGGGGCTCAGTGGCAGAGGAACAGCTGGTGGGTCTCCAGCCTGACGTTGTCATCGCAGCAGGTTCGTCGCCCCCGCGCCGGGGGAGGGACCCTGCAGGAGGGAGCAGAGTGGAGGGACAGGGGTGCAGAACTCAGAGCCCTGGCAGGCTCTCGAGGGATGACATCATAAAAAAACCCCAAAAAACAACTACAGCCCTGTTTTGGACTTGCCCATATATAAATCTGGAGGGTTTATAGAAAATCTAATCTTGGAAAATCGAGTGATAGTAAAATGTCTCAGCTGTAGCTACAGGGTTTTACTCCCTGATTTGGACCTTTGCAAAGCAAAAATTACCTGAGAGTCCAGGTGAGCAAATGACTTTGTCGTCCAAGGTATCACAAGGTGTGAATGTGAATTCTGTAAGATGAAGCCACTGCGTGTTACCCAATGCCAGCAACACTGTTCAGTGCCCAAACCAGCCCAGGCTGGACTCTGAAGACAAGAACTAAAGGAGATTTAGATCTGTCTACTCTTTGCTGTCACTCATTACTGCAGGACGTGCCCTGATTATGTTGGATCACAAGTAAGTGCTGTGTCTGTCAGTGGTACAGACACCTCAACACTTCCACACAGTAACCAACCACCTCTGGGGATCAGCATTTCGTACCCCTTGGTGCTCACTCTCACCTCCCATCACTATTTCTGCTCTCCAGGAAATGACTCAGGATTCAAACTGCTGCAAGTCCTCTGCCATCAGCCTCTAAAACACCCATTTTTAATAAGGCAGGTTTGTTTTGCCAAGGGCAGTGGCAACAGCACCAACACTCAGTGTTCCTGCTGTCTCCCTTAGGATGGGCCTAAATAAAATATCTGACAATCCATTTACAAAAAGGAGCACGGATTTTTAGTGATTTTGGAGTGATAGTAGGGATGAGGGCATAGCACATAAACCAGAGGCATTTCTGAAGATCTCTCCTTGGGAATTTTTAACCCATGAATAAAAAAAAAACATATTCCCCTGCACTGTGAATATTTTATATTTTTGGTTTGCAGTTCTCATTCTGCTTTTTGCTCAATCCTCAATAAATATTGTATGTTTCCCTCTTTTTTTTTTTCAGATGTGGTGTATGATCCAGAGATAATTTTAGCCCTCATTGGGATGCTACAGAAACTCTCCACCTCGAGAGCAGACAGAAAAGCTCCCGAGGTCTTCATTGCCTTCACACTCCGTAACCCAGACACGTATCACCTCTTCCAGGCTGAACTGGGTAGGGGCCTCTTTCATCAAGTGTTCAATAGTTTTGCCTCTTTCCCCATCACTTATTGTGTGGTAGAGATGAACAGGAGCATTTTTTGGTGAGGAGCATTGTCCAGGAGTGAGATTGTTATCCTAGAGCTGGATTTAAGAGCAGTAGCTTTTCCTCATGGATTTGATCAGGAGATTGGAACTTACCTTTAGGTACATCCTGGCTATCACAGCTCACATCTGTAAGGGATGAATTGCAAGTGTGGTGGACTCAAAAGGGAGGAAACTAAACAGGGTTAAGCTTAAAGGAGGGAAACCATCTGTGCTGCTCTGTCACAGTGATAAATAACAGAGATGCAGCCTAAACCCTTCACCTTATCTTACCAGTTCTTTGAGGGTTAAAAACCAACTAGAGATTAAATAAAATGGGATTTCTCTTCATGTACTCTTCTAAAGCCTATCTTTTGCAGTCTGTCATCTGCTCAGCAACTGGTTAATTCACAAAATGATGCTGAGAGAGGCATTACTGGTATCTTTTAAAAACACTCAAAGCATTTGCCTGTAGCTTTCTTTCACAGCATGGTAAAGATCTCTTCCTACAGAACTTGTCATGCAACTTGTGCTCTTCATTTTATTAAGCCTAAATATGATTCCCAGTGTTTCTCTTCACAGATAAAGTCGGGATCAGGTGGCAGATTATTCCAGCCCACGGCAACAGTAATTTTCTCTATGATGTGCAGCCAAATGTAACTATTCTCCAGCTATTTATATAGGCTTGGCAAATAGAATTGGAATTTTGAGACCAACAGGAGCCATGTCATCCTTGCAACAAGATTATCCTGAGTTCTGGAAGCACACACCAGAGGTGCTGGACTGTACACACGGGCTGTTGTCAATGTGAGTTGTCTCTTCCTGTAATTTCCAGCATGTCTGCAAAGAAGCTGCTGCCCCTGAAAAGTGAGTGAACCTCAAACAATACCAAAAAAATTAAGCCCTGATCATACTGCACTTTAATTCTGTAGAAGACAACAGAATTCAAGTGTATTTTTTTAACTGTGTTTTGGTTTGTTAACGCTGGAGGCAAACCTGCAGGATCATCAGGATCTCCCATGGACAAGGGAGCAAGACAATGGTTCAGAGTAAAAAATATTTTTAAATATTAAAATCAGCTGTAATTGTCTACTCTGTTTTTTTTATACTTGTTTGTATATACTGGCAGTCTGGTCAGTCTTAAAAACGAACCAGTAAACGAGCAGTGACTAATACCTCCAGAGCTGTGGGATGTCCCAGGCTCACACACTGCTGTAAGAGCAGGGGTCAGGCTCTGCTGGAAATCAGGGGCATCTTTACCCTGCAGTGATGACAAAAATCACAGCCGAGGTACATTGCTCTCACTTAAGAGCTGCCACTTTCACTCCTGGCTGCTGGGACCTTCCTGCCAGGCTGGCCAGGAAACAAAAAAGGAATCGTCCTCCACAGCAATGCTCCAGGGATCCTGCAAGGAGGAAACACTGAGCTCACCTGCTCAGAAACTTTCCAGTGTCCATTCATCATTCTCCTCTTGGTCCTGAAGCAGAAGATCAAATGCTGCTCATTCTCCTCTTTAGACTTTCTTTTTCTCTATCTGGTTTTAAAAGCTACTTACAGGAAAATGAACAAATACTTCAGGCTCCTCCTTCCGTAGCAATGGAGAGAAAATGGGTGGTGGGTAACTTGAAACCTGAAGAATCATCTTAATTCTTCAAGCTGAAAGAAGCCACAACTGCTGGGATTAAGCAGAAGTTACCCCAGCCCAGGTTTTAGCTCCCTGTCCCCAAAAAGGAAGAACTCAAAGGTATTATTTCTAGAGGAAATGCAAACTGGCAGCCCAGACAGGAGCTCCCCTACACAAAATTCAAGTCACTCAAAGGTTCTGTACAGATGGCTCATTTTACATCTAAAATTTTTATTATAGGAAGATGAAACCTCTCTGAAGCTTTTGGCATTACTGTTTAATTAGAGAAGTGCCTAATTTATCTCCACGTGCACAGGATTGGCTAAAGGGGAACAGCAAAACCCACAGACAGGATTTTGACTGAAAACAGTAGGAAAGATACATTAAAATATTGGCAAATAAATCTTTATGAACCATTCTTCAGTCAAGAAGCTGGAGGTTTTGCCAAACTCCTGCAGTAAAGCAACTTGACTCTTTTATTTTCACCTTCTTCCTTCTGAAAAAAGCAGATTTTCGATGATTACTCAGTCAGAGGGTTTAAAAATGCTGGTGCAGAACCCACTGTCACCACCTCCCACCCCTGAACTGGGAGCTTTGAGGAGCAGTAACCACATGATAAAACCAAGCACTTCTGTTCCTTAAACGACTGACATCTATTTTATAGCCAAAAAGGTGATGAAAAAAACTTGGAACCATTCAGTCTGCATATACTGATCTTAACAATAAAAAGCTGAAGGGTGCACCTGAGTGAGCACTCACAAAGTGAAGTGCCTTTGATTACATTACACGTATATTTGGGGCTTATTTTTCCCTGTTCTATTCATCTGTTCAAAAAGAGATAAATTTGATGTTCTTTCTCAAGGTGAATGGGCACATTCACTTCAGACTACAAGGGGAGCACTCACTGCAAGGTCTGTTTTCCTCTAAGTACCCAGTAAAGCTGTCACACCCCAGCAGCTGCACTTCCACATTCCTGCACACACTGTGAAAAGGAAAACAACTTTGAAACAAAACGGTTCTGTCTCAATAAAATCCTACAAGAGGATATTCAGTGTGTGTCTAGAGAAGACTAGGCAACATTAACTGTTTGAATAAACAAAACCCCCATGTATCCTCAGTTAAATTTCAAGATAATTTTGATTGGAAAAGACCAAGATCATCAAGTCCAACCTTTGACCAGTTGAAATAAAACAATTCAAATAAAAGGCATTTCCCACTTCGCAAAAAAACCCACACCCAAATCACCTACTAAGGTGCTGAGTGTACAGCAGGTAAAAGTGGTAATAGTTTCTATCTGTATTCAAGTATCTTCACCAAAAAGTGACCTCTGAGCAGCACAGGTGGACACGCAGCAAACGCCTCCAGCTGCACCTTCAGCTCTGCTCTGACACAGGAAGCTCGAACTGGAAAGGGAGTGTGCAAACACGTGTTCCGAGATGAAGTAGTTAAAAACTGCAACTGTAGACAACACAAAGTGTTTATTTACTGTTTATCCAATCTCTGCAGTCCAGGAATGTATTGGCTTTGCCACCCTCCTTCCCCACAGTCATTCCTTGTGCCCCAGCAGGGGCAGCACAGTCTGGTCCCAGCTCTCGTCCCAGCGCAGCTCCTGGGACGCCCTGAGGTTCTGTCTGAAGCTGTGCAGTTTGCCTTCCAGGGTCGGAAATTCCAAGAAAAGCATCTGTAATATAAAGGGCAAAACCACAAAGATACCATCATGTTCCATTTCAGGCTCATTGCAGCCTCCCCAGCATTAACCCTCAACTACAAAGCTGCAGTGAGACTGTTCTTGGGTCTGGCCCCAGAAACAGAACAATGACAACATTTTCAGTGCTTTTGCCAGCTTCAGATTCACATTTAAACACAAGAGAGGCAAATAATGTTCACCAGGCCAAGCAGTGCCTTCTGAGAAAGCAAAATACACAGACAGTCAGCTGTGAAAGGGCTGCCCACGTGGTGGCACCTTTGGGGTCACACCTGGGGGGCAGAAATGAGTCCAAGCCTTTACCTTCAGTTGTTCTGCGAGTTCACTCGAGTCCCTGAATATCAGACCATTTTCATTGTGTTTCACAAGTTCATGTAAACTGTGAAAAGAAGTCACAGAAGGAAATAATGAGACAAAAAGCAGCAAGTGGGACATTTAAAATGTTGTACAGTGACAGCCAAAGGGGCCCCCCAGGATATCTGTAACATTATCACTGATATGAGCCCCACACCTGACATAATGGGATGGAGAAGGCAGTTTAAAATCTTCTAATTTAAAGACTGTTTCTCCTTTCTATGTCAGACTAAATCTACCACAACTGTACCAAAGGGCCCTCACTCTGTGTCACTCAACTGGACATACATGAAAAATCAGGGCAATAATCTACTTTAAAACTAACCCACAAGGAAAATTTTTCCATGATCCATCATGAAATCTTCACAGAGAAGTTATCTTCCTTTATAAAGCTACTGTTTTCCCAAAGGACCATGAATTCCAAGACTGCCTATGCATACACTCACCCCTTCACTGAACGGAAGGAAGCTTTTTTAAAATTAAATATTTGGAAACAAAGGATAACAGGGATTTTTTAAGGCAAGTGGTTGCATGACATGCTCTGACCTTTGGAGAAACTAGTGTCATTCTTAAAAATTTATAACAACCTTGATTTCTAACTTACTGAATTTAAAAAAATGGCATAATACAGCAATCTCATTTGACTCCTGCAGTAGCTGCTGAACTCGTGCTTTGCAAGAGTATTTTTTATGTGAATCACTTGATCTGTAACAGAACAAGGTCCTACCATTCAAAATATATTGCACACACAGGTAAACAGCAGCCAAACATATCCACCACCTTCATGGGTAAATCCAAACCACTGGATGATTTATGGAGACACACCCCCAGGTCTGCTGAGCCTGAAAAGCAAACGGAACAGTCTGAATTCTCTGAGAGCAGCTCTTCTGCCCTGCTGCAAACCTTTATTTCTGTGCTGCTTTGGGTGGTGCAGGGTAAGCTCGAGCCCCCTCCAACCACCCAGACTGACTCTGTTTCAAGCACTCAGGGGAAAAAAAAAAAGCACAATACATTTTGTGACTAAAATTAGTCAGGTTTTAGAAATTAAAGGGGATTTTAAAGTTTCATGCATCTTAAAACAGCCTTTCTACCTCTTAATCTGCTAAGAATGGATAAGTGAAGGAAAACTCCAGCACAGACCAGAGAGGATATGCTGCTTGGCTCACTGGTGACCTCTCCCAGTTCAAGTCATCTCAAAATAGAGAAATTACAGCGTGATTTTATAGTCATTATGTTCATTATTTGAAAAGGACCAAATAAACACAGTGTTTTAAAGCCATATAAATTGTCAGGCTCTAATCCTGCAGAATGGAGATCAAGTTAAACATGTGTTTTACTGCTTTATTACTCCCACTTTATGCTGTTACAATGAACATGCTGAGGGAATAACATTCCAATGACAAGTTAATTAAAAATTTCAGCTACTTTTCGTTGCTTAGTGAAAAGCTTTTTTGATTTCATTTACAGGAGTGACCCTGAAAATAAGCTGGAACGTGCACAGGCAGCTGTATTTCAGCACAGAAGAAACAAAGGGTGCAAAGAACAGGCTAAAACAGCAACAGGTACCAAGCCAACTTTTTGGGATAACAGCGAATAGCCAGAGAAATTCAACATTTTTGCTGGAATGAGTCAAAGCCACGAGTCTCCTGTCACCAACCAAGCACTCATTGCTATATTCTACCAGGTTCTGTGCACAGTCTGTATCAGTTCTCTGCCCCTGTGCCAAGTTGTTTTTCACACATTCTCCAGCCTGTTTCATCACCCACTATTTACCAAGCAGAAGAGGGTAATCCTCAGCTTCCAGCCACGGTGTACAGATCTGGATATGTTTAAAGTGCAGTTTCTGTATCAGTCCATTGTAGTAGTCTTTTAGAGGTCCTTTACCTGTTTAAAACAGAAAAGAAAAATATTTAGTAGTTTTTCATCAAGCTGACTGAAAATAGTGTGGTCTGTGAATTTTACTGCACAGCTGCTGAGCTCCTGTTGCATCAGGTACGTCCAAAAGGACACCACACATGATCCTCCAAAAGACACATAAACATCCAAGTCCCTTTCAAAGTGATGTGTACCTAGAGTTTAAACTGTTCTGAACATGGAGCAGTGCAGAACTGTAGTAGGGACAGGGAGTAGAGAGGGAGGTCAAGAGCTTCTCCTCTGAAAATGTGCCATGATTACATCGTGTGGGTTCAACTATAAATTCAACTATAAGTTACCATTCTTATAACCAGAACTAAAGACAACAGTCTCTTCTCACCATCAGAAGAGTCAGCAGGGAACAAAAGTGAAAATGAATGTTCTGTATCAGCACTGAAAGAATTGCAACACAAGCAGACCCTTACCTGTTATCACACACACCAGAGCTGGAAGCTTGGCTCCCTCATCAATAAACCTCTCGTAGTCTGGAGAAGATAAAACACTGCTTGGAGGCCACAAATACACAGATGGTTGGTTAACAGTGGTCACAGTGTATTAATTATTTAGCCTCCTACTGCAAGTAATTTCTTTACAGGCATGTACTTAGTAAAACAGTAGTAAATTCAGCAATGTTAAAATTTACAAACTTGTACAGAAATAAATCATGCTCTGTTTATGCAGCAAGCATTTGCTCAACTGCCCCACAATCAGCTGCTTCAATAGATCAATTTACAATTGCCAGCTGCAAAGCCTACAAAATAAGACAAAGTATTCCCTTCCTTCCTATTAGCAGCTGCCTATGGAGAGTATCTGTAATAGCTTAAGAAATAAAACTGCAATTTAGAAGCTAGTTAGAGATTTAATTCTCCCTGACAACTCCTCCAATTGAATCCAGATGTTGCCCTTCTGTATTTCAATTACTACTCTTAAACCAGTGCTACTTAATCAAATACAGCTGCATTTTCACCTGAATAGGGTTTAGCAAAACCCTTTTTAAGTGTCCAGAAAACAACCCTTGGAAAAATGAGATTAATTCCTTCATACCCACCTTCTAAAGCTTTTAAAAGGACAGAGAAGTCTTCATCCTCTGAAAGAGAAGGCTTTATTAGTGACATCCATATTTGTATCATTTATGATGAATTACTGTCTTTAAATAACAACAATCAGACTCACCTCACCAACATGATTTAGTACAGACCGTGCTTTTCCTATTAAAATCTGCTAATTTGCTTTCATAAATAGAAGTCTATAACCACAGACACTGTTTATTTGCTTCCCCTGCTGGCAATATGGCAGACAAACCACTCACAAATGCTGCACATCTTCAAAGCTATCAAGTAACAATTTTCTAGTTTCTAAAACTAAAGAATTGAGTTTTAAAAACTGCCCTGACAATTCAAAGATAAAGACAATTCTGCCAATTCTGCCCCTGGTTACTGGCAATGGAATTTTTTTGCCTCTGTATGAAGAAGGGAACAGAAAATGGAAACAAGTGACATAATTATGTAGCACACATTATCAGAAATCATGGAATCACAGGTTTGGGTTGGAAGGGACCTTAAACCTCATCTTGTCCCAAGCCCTACCATGGGCAGGGATGCCTTCCATTAGACCAGGGTGCTCAATAAGGAGTAAATATTTTAATTTCTTAAACTATTTTATGCCACCCTGCAAGATTGTATGTCTAGAATGAAAGCAAAAAAAGAAGTAGGAAATCTCTTCTAACCATCCTTAAAGCTGAGCCTCTAGACTGTAGCTCTATAATTAAAATATAACTTTAAAAAATCATTGATTTTTAGCATTCTATATGTTATACCACATTTAGTTGTGTATGATACAACACTTAGTTGAATCATATACACCTTGTCTTCCATTTTTTTCCTGGCAAGTGAAGGAAAAACATAACTTCAGATGTGAGGAAGTACAAACAGCCTTAGTTTTAGATGAAAAATGCAGTGTTTCCCCACCTGTCCAGCTGGTGCTGCTGATGAGAAGAGCTGGCCGGCCCCTGGACTCCAGCACACGTCCATCCCTGCCACCCCTCTCTGTGAAGGCAGATCTCTCAGCACTGGGATCCACAGGCTCTGCACTGTGGAGACACAACCTCCTGAGGACGGGCTACACACACAGCCAACAGCAGCAGCAAACCCTGCTTCAGTGGCAGGAATTCCCAAACATTTTGTTTCAGATTTGCTGCTCAACTTCTCCAGAAACAGAGGCATCCCAGTACAGAGCTATGGAGAAACACCAGACCAGGAGAGGCCATTTTTCCTGCTTCCTACTGCTACAGACACGATTCCATCTTCCAGCAGAGTGTTTTCCTTAACAAGCTGAGCAAACAGCCAGCCTCCCTTTCCAGTTCTCACAGTGTGCCAACAGCACATTTATTCCATTCAACTCAGGCCCTACACACTCTGAGGTGGGCATTTCAAAAATACCCTCTACACACTATGGATTTCACTTCTTTTTCAAGCATTAGTTTGGTAAAGTAACTCCCTGGTCAATCTGCTACAGGTGACACCCTGCACACGGGCAGAGGGGAACATGCAACACTCAAACCAAGACCCTGAAGGCTCTCACAGTAAGTAAGGAAGAGGTGCCATTAAGGAAGCATCCAACCACTGTCATTTAGGTCCATTTGAAGCAGACAACTGCTGAGTTCCACCCTAGAGATACTCTGTCACAGATTGCCTCAGTGCTTGTGCCAACTTCTTTAAAAACAAAACACTTCTACTTCACACACCGAGTCTTGTGTCAGCACAGTTCAGTGATCTCACACCTGGCCTCTCCCTGTGACCCTGAGCCAACCTGCACAGCACTGGCTGCTCCGAGCCCACTGTGCCTCTGGGCTCAGAGCCTGGGCCCCCACACGAGTGCCTGTGGTCAGCACGTGCCCCAGCTGCCTGGCACTGCGGGAGGGACTGTCAGCACAGCTGTACTCCCAGCTCACAGCTGCACTCACAGCTGCACCCCCAGCTCACAGCTGCACCCCCAGCTCACAGCTGCACCCCCAGCTCACAGCTGCACTCACAGCTGTACTCCCAGCTCACAGCTGCACTCCCAGCTCACAGCTGTACTCCCAGCTCACAGCTGCACCCCCAGCTCACAGCTGCACCCCCAGCTCACAGCTGTACTCCCAGCTCACAGCTGCACCCCCAGCTCACAGCTGTACTCCCAGCTCACAGCTGCACCCCCAGCTCACAGCTGTACTCCCAGCTCACAGCTGCACCCCCAGCTCACAGCTGCACTCACAGCTGCACCCCCAGCTCACAGCTGCACTCACAGCTGCACCCCCAGCTCACAGCTGCACCCCCAGCTCACAGCTGCACTCACAGCTGCACTCCCAGCTCACAGCTGCACTCACAGCTGCACTCCCAGCTCACAGCTGCACTCACAGCTGTACTCCCAGCTCACAGCTGCACTCACAGCTCACAGCTGCACCCCCAGCTCACAGCTGCACTCCCAGCTGCACCCCCAGCTCACAGCTGCACCCCCAGCTCACAGCTGCACTCACAGCTGCACTCCCAGCTCACAGCTGCACTCCCAGCTCACAGCTGCACTCACAGCTGCACTCCCAGCTCACAGCTGCACTCACAGCTGCACTCCCAGCTCACAGCTGCACTCACAGCTGTACTCCCAGCTCACAGCTGCACTCCCAGCTCACAGCTGCACTCACAGCTGTACTCCCAGCTCACAGCTGTACTCCCAGCTCACAGCGGCACCCCCAGCTCACAGCGGCACCCCCAGCTCACAGCTGTACTCCCAGCACAGCTGTACCCCCAGCTCACAGCTGCACCCCCAGCTCACAGCTGCACCCCCAGCTCACAGCTGCACTCCCAGCTGCACTCACACCTACCGTGCTCGGAAGGGCTCGTAGTCCTGGGCGAGTTTCATGTACAGACGGTGCCGGAGGTCCAACGGTGTTTCCTTAAAATAAGAAGCTGGTCTGTCATACAGAGTTACTGCCCTGTGAGGAAACATGGGAATAGCTTAAACAGGATACAGACACAACAACGTGTACCTGGCTCAGTGACAGGCTGAACATGGAACGCAGAAAGTAATTAAGTAAATCAATACTGCAAAGTAATTCGGTTTTTGACTCTTACATCTGTCTATGCCTGAAGTTTGCTGGAATACACCAGGGTGGACACAATAATCCTGTAACAGAGCCCCTTTCGTGGTGCCTATTCTAGGGGTGAAATGCACCTGTACAAACTGCAGACATCACTTCTTGAATTTCAAACTTACTCTGTAACTGCCCCTGAGCAACCCTGATCTTAAAGCCCCCTGACTGCAAATGTAAAGCTGTCAGGGCAGACTAATCATTAAAAATCCCAGTGATTATTCCCATTCTATTGGCAGCCTGGCAGCAAACCTCCCTGACACCTGGACTGCCACCTCCCAGTCAACTGGGTGTTAATTAAGAAGGGTAATGAAGACTCCTGAATGCCCACACTCCACTGGCTCATTACAAAACAGAGCTAATAAGCTTCAGTGGAGTTGCTTTTGTAGGATCCCCCTGAATCCTGAATCCTCAGGGACCTGTTTTCATTTCACTTTGCACACACAGAGTAATTTGTGACTTACTTTATGTTGCAATTCATCCAGAGATCTTCTTTCATTGCATCAGTGACACACAAGTTATAGTCAGACAAGCGCCCAAAAAGCTTTTCATACCTGACAAAAATTAAGTCAGTTAGAAACCACAGGCAGGCAATTGCTTTAACTGCCCAGTGCCCATGACAAGTGAAAGCCAAATAAAACCAAAAAAAACCCCAACTGCCCCCAAAACTGAAATTTAATTACCAATTATTCCCAGTTATTGATGGACTCCTGGTGCTGAAGCAATATCAGTTTATGAGAAGGGCTACAGCAGGACTCCAACACCCACACTAGAAAGCCTTTAAAGCTTTTAACTGCACACAACCAATTAGATTCAGCAAGAAGCAGCTTTTTAAGGGAGAGCTGGAGTGTAAAGCAGCATTAGAGAATAAAAAACTCAGTACCTATAGAGAAATTCTAATAACAAGATCAAAGTTTGCATATGCACATAAAAGCAACCTGCCTACTTCAAACCACCCCCTACGTGTCCAACAAGGGCAATTTCAAAACATGTTTTCTGAAATAGAAACCAGTTCAGCACAGCAAACCCCAGAAATCCCTCTCACAAACAGCCCTTTGCCAATTACATTCTCCCCACTGGTTTCCATTCTGAATCCCACCCAGGTGTGTAATTTGAAGGAGAAGTGACTGTACAAACCATTTTGCAATCTGCACTAGCGGGTGGTTCCTCCCATGACTCAGGCTCATTATGGTGTATCCATAGTTGTGCCAATCAATTATCAGTTTGCTCCTCCAGAACAGACCTGCCACCCAGGCAACAGCTATACTGGGTAAGCCCGGGGGATTCTGCTCAAAAATAAACCAGAAACAGCACAAGAGCGTGGTCAAGTGACAAACACAAAGCAACTACCAGAAAAAAATCCAATTATTGAAATTACATCGCTTTAAAGGAGCTTAATGACCAGAGACTATTTGTATTCACCTACTAAAATTGGTAGGCCCTTCAAATTTCACCTTGGATCAGGATCAAAATCCCCCTCCAATAAACACAGCAACATTTCTAGTGAGATTTATTCTTTACTACTGCCCATGCCAATGAAGTTTAAAAGCCCATCAATTAACAGGAGGAGCAAACCTGAGTCGCTAACAAGAAAAATCAAGGTTTGGAGGCAAAAAAACACTTTGATATAGGTTTACACCATTGGTGAAGCCAGTTCAGCTCTCAAATAACTAGAACAATGTCTGAGA